CCCCTCAGTTTATGAAACACAGCGTGACGTAATATTTCGTATCACGTTTCCCGTTAATAAGAGTTCTGTTTAGTTCCAAAACTCATAATGGTGCGATTTAAAAATAATACGACACTGTGCTCTGTTTCGTGTGCTGCTCCCCACAGGGGGGGGAGTTACCCACACCCTCTTCCTGCAGCAGCAACAGGGTGATTTCGAGGCGAGTTGATTTAACTAGTTAAACCGTTGAAATCTCCAGAATTCGGCGATTCGTTTCAGTACAAATCTTTACATTGCTTTTAAACCGAAGTTCCACATTACTGATGCCCTCTTTAAGGTCTCTCCGAATATTTGCCGTGCACACACACAGAGGAAACCAAAAATATTGCATCTATCTGTTCCACAGGTAATTTTATACCGTCAATCACAGAGTCTGGCGAGGCAATGTCAAAATATAGATTTGAAATTACACTCACCAGCTCGACGATTTGTTGGTAACCGTTCGCGACGCCAATTGTGAAGTTAAAACTTCTTTGCAGCAATGTTGAGCGCATCATCAAATGAGGGAAACTGGACTCGCCTGTCAATACACTGATATTTATTGAGAGACAGACAATTACACACGGCCGGGAGATCATCCTAGTTTCACACTGTCCTTGTGCTCCACCAAGGTAATCTCTGAACCAAAAGACACAAAACATCTAACCAACACGAGGAGAGGCGGGCTCCCAGAAAGCCCGCGTATAATCAATAGCCGATGCGAGACAATGGTCTGCTTGTCTCAAAGAGATGCTGCCAGGTCAACCCCCCACGGACATAGGAGAAGCGTTTGACCTGTGACCTCAACATCACAGAGGAGTCTCTGACTGACTACAAGCAGATGTTTGCAGTATCACAGATTCTATAAAACAATAAGAAACTCTATAAACAGATCAGATGAAAATATTCTCTTACACCCAGGGTGCAGTACCACGGGAGCCTGAGGTGGAGGGGGCGCTCCCGGGGCAACCCGACTTGTGGTCATCGTCTCAGCTTGTTCCTGAAATTGCCCCTCTTGAATGTGATGCTGTTCTTCCATCTATTCCAGCCGGTCTCAGCCCTTTACTGCCCTCTACTTCCTCGTGTGAGTCTGCCAGTAGCGCAGCTGGGTTTTCTTTTGCTCGCGAGGAGCTTATCGCGGAACAGGGTAGAGATCCAAGCCTGTCAGGCCTTTTTGCGAACACTGTGGGAGTGGGAGAGAGTGAGGTTTCTAAAAGTTGCTATATCCTGAGGGACGGGGTATTGCTGCGTAAATGGTCTCCTAGCCTCGACGCGTCAGCGGAGAATGATTGGAATGTGGTGACGCAGGTTGTTTAGATACCGTCATGATATTCTGTGTTTGGCTCACGATCACAGGCTCGCAGGACATCTGGGGGTCAATAAGACATATGACAATTTTTTTGGCCAGGGTTGAAACGGGATGTGGTGCAGCACTGCAGGGGGGGTGTAAACCTAACGGGGTCATTCCACCGGCGCCACTCTACCCTATCCCGGCAGTGGGGGAAACTTTTGAGAGGGTTATCATTGATTGTGTGGGTCCACTCCCTAGAACCAAGGCAGGTAATAGCTTTCTTTTGACCATTATGTGTGCCAACACACGGTTTCCGGAAGCGATTCCACTGAAACGGATAACGGCCAAAACAGTGTCACAGGCCTTGGTGAGGTTTTTCTCCGTTTTTGGTTTGCCTCGCGTGGTACAGTCCGACCAAGGTACACATTTTTTATCCCGCATCTTCTCGCAGGTTTTAAAGCAGCTGGATATATCGCATAGTTTCTCTAGCCCATATCACCCACAATCCCAGGGGGCTTTGGAAAGGTTCCACTCCACGCTAAAAACAATGCTTCGGGCGTTCTGTCGTGACACGAAGGACAACTGGGATGAAGGGGTTCATTTAATGTTGTTTGCCGCAAGGGAGGTGGTGCAGGAATCTTTGGGATTCAGTCCTGCAGAGCTGGTATTTGCGCATTCGGTTAGGGGGCCGCTTAAGCTGCTGAGGGAGAAGTGGTTGGGGGAGAGCGAGCCGAAGAACCTGTTAGACTGTGTCTGTGGCTTTAGGGAGAAGCTGAAGAGGGCATGTGAACTAGCGAGGACAAATCTGAGTGACACACAGGGGAGGATGAAGGGCTGGTATGACAGGAAGGCTCGGGATAGAACGTTTGTGCCAGGGGAGAGGGTTTTAGTGTTGTTGCCTGTCCCAGGCTCCAGCTTACAAGCACGGTTTAGTGGGCCGTACCTGGTTAGAGAGAAAGTAGGGGATTTGGACTACCTGATCGAGACACCGGATCGTGGGTGGAAGACTCGCTTGTGTCATGTTAATATGATTAAGCCATATTATGTGAGGGAGCCTCTGGTGAATCCTATTGACAGTATTGTTGTTCCCTCTGCGAGTGTGTCCACTGTGCCGGTGTCAGTTTGTATGTTGGCCCCATCTAGCATTGATGAGAGTAATGACAGTCTTTGTTTTTCAGAGGGGGTTGGAGAACTGGAAGATGACGTCAATATTCCGTCCAAGGCGGTCGTGGAGGGACGGTTGACAAACACTGAGTCATTGATCACTCTTGACTGTCATCTTGGCCATTTATCAACAACGCAGTGAGATGATATCAGGGGTTTGGTTGGGTCTCATTGTGAGCTGTTCTCCGATATTCCTTCGCGCACTAACGTATTACAACATGACATCGATGTGGCGGAGGCATTACCCATTAAACAGCACGCGTATTGCGTGAACCCATATAAGCGGGCGCGGTTACAGAAAGAGGTGGAATACATGCTCACTAACAATATCGCTGAGCCCAGTTTCAGACCATGGAGCTCGCCGTGCTTATTGGTTGATAAGTCAGACAAGACAGATAGGTTTTGTACGGCTTTTCGCCAGGTAAATAACGTGACTAGGCCGTAGGGGGGGGGGGGGGGGGTGCTATTTATCCATGGGGTGGTGTGGGGGTTAGGGCTGTCCATACCATGCTGTTAGTACAATTCGTATTTGTTATTGTGCTGACAGTATTATTGTTTCTTGTTTCCTTCTGTTTATGTTCATTCCCCCATTTCGCCTTGGGGTTATGGACATAAAGTTGGGTGTGGGGGTGTTATGTGTTTGTGCCCTGATCAGGGGCTCCTAGTGTGATGTGTCATGTCTAGCTGTAGTTTCCTGTTATGGTTTTGTAGTCCTTATCGTTTCCCCTCCAGGTGTACCCATTTGTAATTAACCCAGGTGTGTCTTGTCTCGTCATTACCTCATGTATAAGTATTCTGCCTTCCCCTTTGTCTGGTGCTGATCCTGTCTGTGCAGTATGTGTTCTTGTCTGTCATTACTTTATATTTCCTTTGTTCAACCATGGTGGTAATTATTAATTAAATTCTTTTTTTGATTACTTCGGCTACCGTCTCCTTTATTATGTTCCCTTGACTCGACATTGAGCCTGCTAACAGTCAATGGTAACATAATAGTCACACATGTTTCCACTTGTTTGTACCATTTTCAGGCGATTTGTAATCTGTTCTAGAAAAACGATGTGTTTTTAGGATTTCAAGAAGCGTATAAAACAAACAATGGATGTATTTTATGAGCATTTATCCATGCTGAAAGTAGATTGAGAGGTTTTAGGAGTGAGATAGAGATTATTATCTAATATATGCATCCAATGAAGCATTGCATGAAGTCTGTTGATGATCAGAAGCTGTTGTTGGGGCTGCATAAACGTTTTTTTATTTTTGTTTTGTAGGCAGACCATGCAGGCCAGCCCGATGGTCACCAAGGTTCATGTTTTAATAGCATTTTTACAAAAAAAGCCCAGGCGAGCCTAACATGTGAAAAAATGGCTTAGACCTCAGAGAGTTTTAGGCTGTTATGTACTGTTGGAGTGGTAAGCTGGTAAGTTGTATTTTGTTGGACGAACGCACTTATTGTAAGTCGCTTTGGATAAAAGCGTCAGCTAAATGCAATGTAATGTAATGTAATGTAAGCAGGCCTATTGTTTCTGGATATTTGTGGAGTTAGGTGGTCCGTGAGTGTTTTTTTATTGGTTAAGTGGTCCTTGGTATGAAAAAGTTTGAGAAACACTGCGCTAGTGCATTGTCAACTGGGGGAGCCTCACTGCGGGGAAATTATACAGATGGCTAGTCCGCCCCTGAAAAATGTCTATGCACCCGTTATTATTAATAATAATTTAAGAAATTCAATTTTTATTTTTACCCCTGTCCTAATGCATCACTCCATATCCTCTGTGAATCCTGGGATACCATCAGAAACACTTTATCTGGGACTGATCAGAGTCAGGGTCATGGAGAACAGCAGCAGATGGCTCGGGCTAATGCCTGAGACTCTTCTTTGCTCCTGTTCCATTTCCTTGCTCTGTTCGGTAAACAGTGATTGGTGTCTGGCTGCCCAGTGTGAGGCCAATCAGCTCTCATCTGGTGTGATGAAAAGTGACATAAATAGATTTGGTCTGAAAGGTTTCCTTTGCTGTGATTAAGAGCCTCGCAGGATGCACGGAGAATTCTGATTCTAACACATTTGCTTTCCATATGCAAACCAGCCGCAAAACAAACTCATCAATTTCACATCAGCTTTCATTTAGCTTAATGGCCAGCCATTAACAAAACCAATCGCCTCCCTCCTGTGTCTCTCTCACCATCATTATTTGAGTTAACAGAGCACATGGAATCATATTCACACACACACACACACACACACACACACACACACACACACACACACACACACACACACACACACACACACACACACACACACACACACACACACACACATCCTTGTGCAACTCAATTGTGGGGCCCGAACTGATTTTACCCAATTGTGGGGTCCACCCTTTCCAACTATACTAGACCTCCGTAAAAAATCAGGCAATATAGAAAAAAAATTAGAATCACAAAAATCACTTCAAATAAACATAATTCCAAGCTTTTGTCATTATGCTAGTTTTTTACACACTTAGTGGGGCGCAGTTTCTAGCAGTCAGCACTTATGAGGTCCATTATACACACACACACACATATTTCTAGTTTTCATATCTTGGAAGGGATCAGACACACACATATTTCTAGTTTTCATATCTTGGAAGGGATCAGAGTTACTAGAGACATTATTGAGTTGAATGGACTTTCCTTGTTACCAAAGAAACTGCAGAACAGCATCATGAACATTTACATTCTACTCTGATATTTTTTACACCAACAAATTCACATTGCTGGTAAAATAAGTCATTACTTAGGTGATTAGCCTCATCTTAACATAGAATATAACTAGACAGTAGACATGGCAGTAACATTGAAACACCATGGAGACCAAATCAATAATCCCCTAAAGATCCTTTTCGTTCAACATTGTTTTTTCTTAGAGGCAACAATTAGTAATTCTTGAGAAAAAAGTATAATTCATATAAACTCTCTACAACATTATTTTAATGCTATAAATATTTATTTGTATATTATTGGGGTGTTTCTATATCGTTAAAACAAAATGTACAACTTGACCAATCCCATGACCCAAAAAACAAAACAAACAGGCCTAACAAATCAGTAGACTTTTACCTCCTTTTGAGTTACATTTAACAATGACATATTCTGGTCATTTTGAGGTTCAAATTTGTATAAAGTTTCTCTCCTGTGAAATGTTTCCATGCTTCAATGAGGGATTTTAGACTTTGAAAAACATTTACATGCACAAAAAGATATTTTCTACACTACAGGAGAGGGAAAACCCTAAAAGCAAAAAAGGAAATCTTTGAAAACATGGATGATTCTTTCTAGCAGCATAATCGGAATGCAATTGATTTCCCTTTAATTTATATTAGTTGACGATTCAAAAATGAAAATTTGGTTTGGTTTAGGTAAAGCCCCTAGTTTTGGTAGTGGTACTTGAAATCCTTCTTTCAACATTGAACGTATTTTTCCTTGGTTCAATTTTATTTCATTTACATTCGGAGAGAAGAAATTGAAATGTTCATGTAATACTTAACGGCTCCCCAGTCCCTATTTGTTAGGGCTTGAGGTTCGGCAGGGATACAATCCTCACATGCATCTTTCCCTGGAACCTGGTTCTTGATTGTCCATTTCATAACCCAAGTGTTGTTCCACAGCAGCACTTTCTGCTGACGTCCAGCTGCGTTTCACAAACGTTTGTTTCCCTAGGTGGACAAATAATAACATGTCATAGGTTTAAGAAGTTTAAGAGCCAGTTATTATCATACAGTTAAGAATCTTATAAAACATTTAAAAAGTACCCATATTGCAGATCTGAAAGAATGTTAATGGTGCGACACCTTCTGATCACTTTATTTCATCACAATCAGACACACCATTTTGTTTGATACTAAGAGTTTGATTATCAACAAAGTGATTGGTCAATTTATCTGTAAGCTCCCATTCATTGTGCAGATACAAACTAGCGTCTGGCATAATTTATAGAATTTATCAAAGTTGCAAAATGGTATTCCAGAAGATGTCCGTGTGGCTCATTTACAGTCCTGCTCCAGTGTAGTTTGTGACATCCAAGGCAAATACTTGAACATGTCTATGTTGCAGAGTAAATGAATACACTTAATTTATTACAGACAGAATACTTACTTAAATGTACATAATAATACATGTAAACATTGTAAAATGTAAAAGGTCTTATCTTGGTACATAGTGAAAAGGAAAGAATAAACATATTGTGGAGACGGCTCCATATTACTGAATTACCTCGGTAGTAGCACAGTCACTGTTTGATGCTTATGTAGACATAAAGTTCCAAGGAGAGCGTCTCGTCCTCAACTCCCTCCCTGGATTAGTCTGCCCGTTTGTCACCTGGAACTGAGATACAAAAATAATGCACTAAGAAGATAGTAACCATGCATATAATCATTAGTTGCTGAAGTTAGCTAAATGACAAACTATCTGAAACTGGATTTGGATCAAAACAAAGGCATGGCATTATTTAGTCCTGTGGTCTCAATACATTTTACAATATCAAAAAGGGGTTGCAATGGACTGCTTTCAAATTACCCTTTCAAACATGCACAGGCTCAGGAAGTGTATAATTATACATACAATGACCTACTATTAGATGTGATAAAGGTACTTTAGAAATAATTGTATTCATTTTAGGTCCTAACCAAACGGGAGGGCCCCATAAGGACAATACTAGAAACAAGTGTGTGTGTGACAGGTTTCTGTAACTACTCCCATCGAGGCTAATGTAAATGATAACCGTTTTAACAATGCTTATGCTCACAAAGTGTTAACTTACGCCTACAACAACTTGAGTTTAGATTCTAAAAGGTGTTGCACAAATGTTTTTAAATGACTTTAAGTTATAACCAAATGGGAGGGCCCCATAAGGACAAGACTAGAAACCAGTATGTGTGACAGGTTTAAGTAACTACTCCCATCGAGGCTAAGGTAAATGACAACCGTTTTAACCATGCTTATGCTCACAAAGTGTTAACTTACACCTACAACAACTAGAGTTTAGATTCTAAAAGGTGTTGCACAAATGTTTTTAAATGACTTTAAGTTATAACCAAACAGGAGGGCCCCATAAGGACAAGACTAGAAACCAGTATGTGTGACAGGTTTAAGTAACTACTCCCATTGAGGCTAAGGTAAATGATAACCGTTTTAACCATGCTTATGCTCACAAAGTGTTAACTTACACCTACAACAACTAGAGTTTAGATTCTAAAAGGTGTTGCACAAATGTTTTAAAATTATTTTAAGTTATAACCAAACGGGAGGGCCCCATAAGGACAAGACTAGAAACCAGTGTGTGTGACAGGTTTATGTAACTACTCCCATCGAGGCTAAGGTAAATGATAACCGTTTTAGCCATGCTTATGCTCACAAAGTGTTAACTTACACCTACAACAACTAGAGTTTAGATTCTAAAAGGTGTTGCACAAATGTTTTTAAATGACTTTAAGTTATAACCAAACGGGAGGGCCCCATAAGGACAAGACTAGAAACCAGTATGTGTGACAGGTTTAAGTAACTACTCCCATCGAGGCTAAGGTAAATGATAACCGTTTTAACCATGCTTATGCTCACAAAGTGTTAACTTACACCTACAACAACTAGAGTTTAGATTCTAAAAGGTGTTGCACAAATGTTTTAAAATTACTTTAAGTTATAACCAAACGGGAGGGCCCCATAAGGACAAGACTAGAAACAAGTGTGTGTGTGACAGGTTTAAGTAACAGATCCCATTATAGTCTAAAAATATGTTCAATTTAGTTTCCTCAGTCAGATCTACACAAATCACTCAATTAGTAACAGGATTAAAGCTGTATCAGAAAAGAGTTTTTAAAAAAAAGGTCCTCTCTTGAAAAGGACAACATTAACATATTGTGGAGACAGCTCCATATTACTGAATTACCTCGGTAGTAGCACAGTCACTTGTTGATGTTTCGGGGAAAGTCAAGTCTAAGGGGAGCCTCTCCTCCTCAACTCCCTCTGGATTAGTCTGCCCGTTTGTCACCTGGAACTGAGATACAACAATAATGCACTAAGAAGATAGTAACCATGTATATAATTATTAGTTGCTGAAGTTAGCTACATGATAAACTATCTAAAACTGGATTTGGATCAAAACAAAGGCATGGCATTATTTAGTCCTGTGGTCTCAATACATTTTACAATATCAAAAAGGGGTTGCAATGGACTGCTTTCAAATTACCCGTTTCAAACATGCATAGGCTCAGGAAGAGTAGAATTATACATACAATGACCTACTATTAGATGTTAAAAAAGGTACTTTAGAAATCTTTTAATTAATTTTATGTTATAACCAAACGGGAGGGCCCCATAAGGACAAGACTAGAAACAAGTGTGTGTGTGACAGGTTTCTGTAACTACTCCCATCGAGGCTAAGGTAAATGATAGCCGGTTTAACCATGCTTATGCTCACAAAGTGTTAACTTACGCCTACAACAACTAGAGTTTAGATTCTAAAAGGTGTTGCACAAATGTTTTAAAATTACTTTAAGTTATAACCAGACGGGAGTGCCCCATAAGGACAAGACTAGAAACCAGTGTGTGTGACAGGTTTAAGTAACAAATCCCATTATAGCTAGTCTAAAAATATGTTCAATTTAGTTTCTTCAGTCAGATCTACACAAATCACTCAATTAGTAACAGGATTAAAGCTGTATCAGAAAAGAGTTTTTAAAAAAAGGGTCCTCTCTTGAAATTAACATATTGTGGAGACAGCTCCATATTACTGAAATACCTCGGTCGTAGCACAGTCACTTGTTGATGTTTCGGGGAAAGTCAAGTCTAAGGGGAGCCTCTCCTCCTCAACTCCCTCTGGATTAGTATGCCCGTTTGTCACCTGGAACTGAGATACAACAAGAATGCACTAAGAAGATACAAACTATCTGAAACTGGATTTGGATCAAAACAAAGGCATGGCATTATTTAGTCCTGTGGTCTCAATACATTTTACAATATCAAAAAGGGGTTGCAATGGACTGCTTTCAAATTACCCTTTCAAACATGCATAGGCTCAGGAAGTGTAGACTTATACATACAATGACCTACTATTAGATGTTAAAAAGGTACTTTAGAAATCTTTTAATTCATTTTAAGTTATAACCAAACGGGAGGGCCTCATAAGGACAAGACTAGAAACAAGTGTGTGTGACAGGTTTCTGTAACTACTCCCAGCGAGGCTAAGGTAAATGATAACAATTTTAACCATGCTTATGCTCACAAAGTGTTAACTTACGCCTACAACAACTTGAGTTTAGATTCCAAAAGGTGTTGCACAAATGTTTTTAAATGACTTTAAGTTATAACCAAACGGGAGGGCCCCATAAGGACAAGACTAGAAACCAGTGTGTGTGACAGGTTTTTGTAACTACTCCCATCGAGGCTAAGGTAAATGATAACCGTTTTAACCATGCTTATGCTCACAAAGTGTTAACTTAAGCCTACAAAAACTTGAGTTTAGATTCCAAAAGTTGTTGCACAAATGTTTTTAAATGACTTTAAGTTATAACCAAACGGGAGGGCCCCATAAGGACAAGACTAGAAACCAGTGTGTGTGACAGGTTTATGTAACTACTCCCATCGAGGCTAAGGTAAATGATAACTGTTTTAACCATGCTTATGCTCATAAAGTGTTAACTTACACCTACAACAACTAGAGTTTAGATTCTAAAAGGTGTTGCATAAATGTTTTAAAATGACTTTAAGTTATAACCAAACGGGAGGGCCCCATAAGGACAAGACTAGAAACCAGTGTGTGTGACAGGTTTAAGTAACAAATCCCATTATAGCTAGTCTAAAAATATGTTCAATTTAGTTTCCTCAGTCAGATCTACACAAATCACTCAATTAGTAACAGGATTAAAGCTGTATCAGAAAAGAGTTTTTAAAAAAAGGGTCCTCTCTTGAAATTAACATATTGTGGAGACAGCTCCATATTACTGAAATACCTCGGTCGTAGCACAGTCACTTGTTGATGTTTCGGGGAAAGTCAAGTCTAAGGGGAGCCTCTCCTCCTCAACTCCCTCTGGATTAGTATGCCCGTTTGTCACCTGGAACTGAGATACAACAAGAATGCACTAAGAAGATACAAACTATCTGAAACTGGATTTGGATCAAAACAAAGGCATGGCATTATTTAGTCCTGTGGTCTCAATACATTTTTCAATATCAAAAAGGGGTTGCAATGGACTGCTTTCAAATTACCCTTTCAAACATGCATAGGCTCAGGAAGTGTAGACTTATACATACAATGACCTACTATTAGATGTTAAAAAGGTACTTTAGAAATCTTTTAATTCATTTTAAGTTATAACCAAACGGGAGGGCCTCATAAGGACAAGACTAGAAACAAGTGTGTGTGACAGGTTTCTGTAACTACTCCCAGCGAGGCTAAGGTAAATGATAACCGTTGTAACCATGCTTATGCTCACAAAGTGTTAACTTAAGCCTACAACAACTTGAGTTTAGATTCCAAAAGTTGTTGCACAAATGTTTTTAAATGACTTTAAGTTATAACCAAACGGGAGGGCCCCATAAGGACAAGACTAGAAACCAGTGTGTGTGACAGGTTTATGTAACTACTCCCATCGAGGTTAAGGTAAATGATAACCGTTTTAACCATGCTTATGCTCACAAAGTGTTAACTTACGCCTACAACAACTAGAGTTTAGATTCTAAAAGGTGTTGCATAAATGTTTTAAAATTACTTTAAGTTATAACCAAACGGGAGGGCCCCATAAGGACAAGACTAGAAACCAGTGTGTGTGACAGGTTTAAGTAACAAATCCCATTATAGCTAGTCTAAAAATATGTTCAATTTAATTTCTTCAGTCAGATCTACACAAATCACTCAATTAGTAACAGGATTAAAGCTGTATCAGAAAATAGTTTTTTTTTAAAAAGGTCCTCTCTTGAAAAGGACAACATTAACATATTGTGGAGACAGCTCCATATTACTGAATTACCTCAATATCAAAAAGGGGTTGCAATGGACTGCTTTCAAATTACCCTTTCAAACATGCACAGGCTTAGGAAGTGTAGAAATATACGTAGAATGAACCTATAACACAAGAATGCACTAAGAGAAGATCTCAAAAGGTATAGCTATCCAATAATAAACAAATTAATCACGTACTATAATTATTTGGACGGAAACAATAAAATGTGTTGAATCACGTGTTATTGTTGAGTTATATGTGTAAATGTACCTGTTTGCGCAAAGGCCAGTCAGCATCCCCGTAACTGCAGGTTATTTCTTCTTCTGGGGAGTTGTCTCTGCAAATAGGCAGAGATGTGGCATCCAATCAATGACAATAGTTTTCATCTTGCAGTTTGGTGTTTGCCCAGTAACTTGTCTTGAAGAGATGCATCAAGGGGTCAAGACTTAAATAAATAGAGATTGAATGTTAGTAGTATAATTTGCATACTTGGATTGGATACAGTGTTGAAAGTAACATTTAAAAAGAAAAATTATTATTATTATTATAGACTTCAGAAAACACCGTCCAGAACCCGCCCCCCTTCACCTCAATGGAGAGAGAGTGGAGAGGGTCCCCACCTTTAAGTTCCTCGGGGTTCAAATTTCGGAGAGCCTCAGCTGCACACACCACTGCAGCAGTTAAAAAGGCCCAGCAGCGACTGCACTTCATGAGGGTGCTTCGGAGGAACAGACTGAACAAGAAGCTGCTGGTGTCCTTCTACCGGGCGACCATCAAGAGCGTGCTGTCATTCTCCATCTCTGTGTGGTATGCTGGATGTTCAGCTGCGGACAAGAAAGCCCTGCAGAGAGTGATTAGGATGGCAGAGAAAACCGTCGGCGGCTTTTGCACACTGGGACAGAGTTGCACTCTGAATCTCGTTGTATTTTTTGTATAATGACAATAAAAGGCTTTAACTTTAACTAAAACCAAGTGTACACTAAAGTGCATTTCCAGTCACTAAAACAAAGATGTGCTCTGCTCCCACATAGTTTTCCTTGCAAAAGTATCCAAAAGACTAAGGGCAGCAATAGACAATGCTGGAGACAACAGTGTGAAATCTATTTGACTACACATTATTATAAATAAACTACGGTCATGTTGCCGGTTAGAATGTTATGTTTACATATTCACTCACCTGTGTCTGAGACACATTACATTCAAATGTTTATCAACAAAGTTTGATTAAAACATCCAAAGGGTTATGTTTAAATCATCACAACTGACGTCAACAAATAAGAAATAATAACCCAATTGGCCCCAGAGATGCTTATTTAATTATATATGATTTATTCTGAATAATAACTGTTTGACTAAAACAGTTATTGGGATAACTTTGTATTATTATATGGGAACATGCTCAACTTCCATGTGGCCCATTTATATGATGCCTAGAGTCTGTAACAGGCATATGGTGTTTCTTTTGTTTTAAACACTCACATTTGACTTTTGTAAGTGGCTTATTTATTGATGAATGAATATTTAGAAAATGTTACCAAATATTACAAAATTATCTTATCTTAAATAATTGCATAGCTTTTTGCTTTTCCCTAGCTTTAAATGTTAATACTGCCAGTAAAAAGTAACTTTTTGGAGTTAAGATTCCCATGGGAAGCAATGTTGGGATTATAAATTAAGATATTGTGATTTAATTTGCACTATTTGCTTGTGTTTATTTAAAACATACAACATTGTAAGCACTTACCTTTAAACGGTGTGTTAAAAATGTGATCCTGGCATCCTGTTGAAGACCAAGCCGTCTCTTCCTCACTGAACTCTGTTTTCTTAATTGTCAGCCATCTCACCTGTTAGACAGAAGAATAGCCTTAATTATTAATTACACCCTGATCCTGTTTAGGATATTTCAATGTTAGCAGGTTCTCAGTCAGTTCAGTCATTCTGATGTTTAATGATGACCATTGTCACATAACTTATTGAAGCTAATGTTATCCCAACTTAATTGAATAAGAAAGTTAATAGCTAGCTTACGTTATCTGGCTAAGAAGGTATAATATTATGTATTATTTACACCACTTTTACAAAGAGAAGTGCCACATGAAAGCCATGTGCACTAAAAGCCTGACTTAATGGTGTGCTGTTCACTCTCTCAGTCTTCTAACCTCATCATGTAGCGCTTGACTGTTTAGCTGAAGCTGTGAATATTTTTCAGCCAAACTCAACTCTTCAGCTGTTTGCTGGCTGTTCTGTGCTTTGCTCTCTGTTGTATCCATATCATCACTGTTGCCAGTATTTTTCATTATTTGCTAAATGAGTTTTAGCAATTTCCTTAGATGATACATTGAAATATCCTCTTCTTCATCATTTATTACATTATCCACGGATTCTGTTATTAGTCTTGTTAAAGCTCGCCTTGTAATGACATTTCCACTTGAGACTTTAGCTTCATCACACACCTCTTTGAGCTGATCCAGTTGCAACCTGCTGTGCGCGTCCGGTGCTCCAGCCCTGCTCGCTCCCGTCAGGGGAAAACTCCGTCCGAGTTGGTGTCACACACAGACACGGCGAAACATTAATACCTCAGCAGTGCCTCCAATATTTGTTGCACACGTGGACACAAGAGGGATTTCCAGGCGTGCATACGTTTAAAAAACAAGACGATCTTTACTTCAGTTCTTCAATTTACGTAAAAGCAAGACTTTACATCACGTGTCTGCATGCACTCCTCTCATCCCCCGAGCTGCCCCCCCCCCCCCCCCACGTGCCTGTGTAAACTTCACTAATTTAGGCATTGCACATGAATACAGTGCATAAATATCCAAAATCCTATGGAGGACAAATCACGTTGCTTACTTCCGGGTTTTAGGATGCGTCACTGCATCACTGCTCTGTCCTGTTTCTGAACTCACAGCACAGCTTAGTAAGAGTGGGGGAGGGGAGGGCAATCAGGTGCACGTGCACCATGCTCTGCAAATGCACGGGGAAACGAACCACAGGAATATTGCCGTTGTTAACTCCCTGCATCCTGATGCTATCTTTACTTGTACTCAAGCACCAGATCTGAATAATTCTACTTTTACTCAAGTACAAGATCTGAGTACTTCTACTTTTACTCCAGTACAATATCTGAGTACTTTTACTCAAGTACCAGATAGAGTACTTCTACTTTTACTACAATATCTGAGTACTTCTACATTTACTCAAGTACAAGATCTGAGTACTTCTACTTTTACTACAGATCTACTTTTACTCAAGTACAATATCTGAGTACTTCTACATTGACTCAAGTACACTATCTGAGTACTTCTACTTTTACTAAAGTACCAGACCTGGGTACTTATACTTTTACTCAAGTACAAGATCTGAGTACTTCTACTTTTACTCCAGTACAATATCTGAGTACTTTTACTCAAGTACCAGATAGAGTACTTCTACTTTTACTACAAGATCTGAGTACTTCTACATTTACTCAAGTACAAGATATGAGTACTTCTACTTTTACTACAAGATCTGAGTACATCTACATTTACTCAAGTACATATCTGAGTACTTTTACTCAAGTACCAGATCTGAGTACTTCTATTTTACTCAAGTACAAGATCTGAGTACTTCTACTTTTAATCAAGTACAATATCTGAGTACTTCTACTTTTACTTTACTACAAGATCTGAGTACTTCTACTTTTACTTTACTACAAGATCTGAGTACTTATACTTTTACTCAAGTACAAGATCTGAGTACTTCTATATGTACTACAATATCTGAGTACTTCTACTTTTACTCAAGTACAAGATCTGAGTACTTATACTCAAGTCCAATATCTGAGTACTTCTATATTTACTACAAGTAAGAGTGGGGGAGGGGAGGGCAATCAGATGCACGTGCACACCATGCTCGGCAATGCACGGGGAAACGAACCACAGGAATATTGCCGTTGTTAACTCCCTGCATCCTGATGCTATCTTTACTTGTACTCAAGTACAAGATCTGAATAATTCTACTTTTACTCAATTACAAGACCTGAGTACTTCTACTTTTACTAAAGTACCAGACCTGGGTACTTATACTTTTACTCAAGTACAAGATCTGAATAATTGTACTTTTACTCAAGTACAAGATCTGAGTACTTCTACTTTTACTCAATTACAAGACCTGAGTACTTTTACTTAAGTACCAGATAGAGTACTTCTACTTTTACTAAAAGATCTGAGTACTTCTACTTTTACTCAATTACAAGACCTGAGTACTTCTACTTTTACTAAAGTACCAGACCTGGGTACTTATACTTTTACTCAAGTACAAGATCTGAGTACTTCTACTTTTACTCCAGTACAATATCTGAGTACTTTTACTCAAGTACCAGATAGAGTACTTCTACTTTTACTACAAGATCTGAGTACTTCTACATTTACTCAAGTACCAGATAGAGTACTTCTACTTTTACTACAAGATCTGAGTACTTCTACTTTTACTACAAGATCTGAGTACTTCTACATTTACTCAAGTACAAGATCTGAATAATTCTACTTTTACTCAAGTACAAGATCTGAGTACTTCTACTTTTACTCAATTACAAGACCTGAGTACTTCTACTTTTACTAAAGTACCAGACCTGGGTAATTATACTTTTACTCAAGTACAAGATCTGAATAATTCTACTTTTACTCAAGTACAAGATCTGAGTACTTCTACTTTTACTCAATTACAAGACCTGAGTACTTCTACTTTTACTAAAGTACCAGACCTGGGTACTTATACTTTTACTCAAGTACACGATCTGAGTACTTCTACTTTTACTCCAGTACAATATCTGAGTACTTTTACTCAAGTAGCAGATAGAGTACTTCTACTTTTACTACAATATCTGAGTACTTCTACATTTACTCAAGTACAATATCTGAGTACTTTTACTTTTACTCAAGTACCAGATAGAGTACTTCTACTTTTACTACAAGATCTGAGTACTTTTACTCAAGTACCAGATCTGAGTACTTCTATTTTACTCAAGTACAAGATCTGAGTACTTCTACTTTTACTAAAGTACCAGACCTGAGTACTTCTACTTTTACTTTACTACAAGATCTGAGTACTTATACTTTTACTCAAGTACAATATCTGAGTACTTATACTCAAGTCCAATATCTGAGTACTTTTACTTTTACTAAAGTACAAGATGAATACACTGCATACATATCCAAAATAATATGGAGGAGAAATCACGTTGCGAGGGAACCAGCATCTTATTTCCGGGTTTTAGGACGCGTCACTGCATCACTGCTCTGTCCTGTTTCTCACAGCACGGCTTAGTAAGAGTGGGGGAGGGGGAGGGCAATCAGGTGCACGTGCACACCATGCTCTGCAAATGCACAGGGAAACGAACCACAGGAATATTGCCGTTGTTAACTCCCTGCATCCTGATGCTATCTTTACTTGTACTCAAGTACAAGATCTGAATAATTCTACTTTTACTCAATTACAAGACCTGAGTACTTCTACTTTTACTAAAGTACCAGACCTGGGTACTTATACTTTTACTCAAGTACAAGATCTGAATAATTGTACTTTTACTCAAGTACAAGATCTGAGTACTTCTACTTTTACTCAATTACAAGACCTGAGTACTTTTACTCAAGTACAAGATCTGAGTACTTCTACGTTTACTACAAGATCTGAGTACTTCTACTTTTACTCAAGTACAATATCTGAGTACTTCTACATTTACTCAAGTACAATATCTGAGTACTTCTACTTTTACTCCAGTACAATATCTGAGTACTTTTACTCAAGTACCAGATAGAGTACTTCTACTTTTACTACAAGATCTGAGTACTTCTACATTTACTCAAGTACAAGATCTGAGTACTTTTACTCAAGTACAATATCTGAGTACTTCTATTTTACTCAAGTACAAGATCTGAGTACTTCTACTTTTAATCAAGTACAATATTTGAGTACTTCTACTTTTACTAAAGTACCAGACCTGAGTACTTCTACTTTTACTTTACTACAAGATCTGAGTACTTATACTTTTACTCAAGTACAAGATCTGAGTACTTATACTCAAGTCCAATATCTGAGTACTTTTACTCAAGTACAAGATCTGAGTACTTCTATATTTACTACAAGATCTGAGTACTTATACTCAAGTACAAGATCTGAGTACTTATACTTTTACTAAAGTACAAGATGAATACACTGCATACATATCCAAAATCATATGGAGGAGAAATCACGTTGCGAGGGAACCAGCATCTTATTTCCGGGTTTTAGGACGCGTCACTGCATCACTGCTCTGTCCTGTTTCTCACAGCACGGCTTAGTAAGAGTGGGGGAGGGGAGGGCAATCAGGTGCACGTGCACACCATGCTCTGCAAATGCACAGGGAAACGAACCACAGGAATATTGCCGTTGTTAACTCCCTGCATCCTGATGCTATCTTTACTTGTACTCAAGTACAAGATCTGAATAATTCTACTTTTACTCAATTACAAGACCTGAGTACTTCTACTTTTACTAAAGTACCAGACCTGGGTACTTGTACTTTTACTCAAGTACAAGATCTGAATAATTCTACTTTTACTCAAGTACAAGATCTGAGTACTTCTACTTTTACTCAATTACAAGACCTGAGTACTTCTACTTTTACTAAAGTACCAGACCTGGGTACTTATACTTTTACTCAAGTACAAGATCTGAGTACTTCTACTTTTACTCAATTACAAGACCTGAGTACTTCTACTTTTACTAAAGTACCAGACCTGGGTACTTATACTTTTACTCAAGTACCAGATAGAGTACTTCTACTTTTACTTCAAGATCTGAGTACTTCTACATTTACTCAAGTACAAGATCTGAGTACTTCTACTCAAGTACCAGATCTGAGTACTTCTATTTTACTCAAGTACAAGATCTGAGTACTTCTACTTTTAATCAAGTACAAGATCTGAGTACTTCTACTTTTACTAAAGTACCAGACCTGAGTACTTCTACTTTTACTTTACTACAAGATCTGAGTACTTATACTTTTACTCAAGTACAAGATCTGAGTACTTATACTCAAGTCCAATATCTGAGTACTTTTACTCAAGTACAAGATCTGAGTACTTCTATATTTACTACAAGATCTGAGTACTTATACTCAAGTACAAGATCTGAGTACTTATACTTTTACTAAAGTACAAGATGAATACACTGCATACATATCCAAAATCATATGGAGGAGAAATCACGTTGCGAGGGAACCAGCATCTTATTTCCGGGTTTTAGGACGCGTCACTGCATCACTGCTCTGTCCTGTTTCTCACAGCACGGCTTAGTAAGAGTGGGGGAGGGGAGGGCAATCAGGTGCACGTGCACACCATGCTCTGCAAATGCACAGGGAAACGAACCACAGGAATATTGCCGTTGTTAACTCCCTGCATCCTGATGCTATCTTTACTTGTACTCAAGTACAAGATCTGAATAATTCTACTTTTACTCAATTACAAGACCTGAGTACTTCTACTTTTACTAAAGTACCAGACCTGGGTACTTGTACTTTTACTCAAGTACAAGATCTGAATAATTCTACTTTTACTCAAGTACAAGATCTGAGTACTTCTACTTTTACTCAATTACAAGACCTGAGTACTTTTACTCAAGTACAAGATCTGAGTACTTCTACGTTTACTACAAGATCTGAGTACTTCTACTTTTACTCAAGTACAATATCTGAGTACTTCTACATTTACTCAAGTACAATATCT